AAAATTACATAGGATCTAGAAGTGTATTTGTGTTAATATATACATACATACACTTCTAGATCATATGTATTGTGTATGTGTATATATATATATATATATATATATATATATATATATATATATACTTTTAAATGATATATATTTGTGTATATATATAATGCATATGATCTAGAAGTGTGCCAAATTATATGCAAACTATAAAAATGTAATAAAATGTACACAGATTTTGACAATAGATTTTAACAAAATTTATTTGAAAAAATGTTTTCTGTTGAAGTATGTTATATATATATATATATATTTATATGTGAAGTATTTTTATATATATATATATATATATGAAGTATTTTATATATATATATATATATATGTGAAGTATTTTTTATATATATATATATATATATATATATATATGTAATATATTATATATATTATTATTTATTATATGTGTGGTACTTATTAGAAAGCGCTCAATATCAGAGATAGAGCTAACATATTTGGTTGGATAGATGTGAGTTTGTAACCCAGGGTTTCATGCTTTTGCGATCGTCAGACAAACTGATTAATTTTTTTTAAAATTTTGATTTAAGTATATTGCATGTATTGGTATTATTATGGAAGTGTGGAGGGGGGAAATCCTAGTCGTGATGTCACTCATGCTAACACAAACATAGATGCATGTCCATACACCCATTGAGGGTGCTCATACGGACATGAACATATGTGGACAATACGAGACTTGACATATGTATATGTGTGCTGTTTTCTATATACATATGCATTTGTATGTTGAAATTCAATTGAATTTCAACATACAAATGCATATGTATATAGACAACAGCATATATATATATATTCCATCCATCCCTATCCAAAAACCTTTTTGAAATGGCTTTTGAGTTTGCCTAATTTTATTCTGATATCTCTAAGGATGAAATCAGTATCAACCTAAATTGTACAAAATCAATAATCCACAGCAACAAACAATAGATAAAGAAATTAGATGAAAATTTTGATGTACCTATGGGATTGCTGGATTCTGCTGAGTTATATGACTTAGTCAGACTATTTATTTTGTACAATCTTACTGCACATAATGAAATTAGCTTAAATAATATAGGGAATTATAGGGATGATGATCTGATGGTAGTAAATAATGCTACCGGAAGTAAGGTAGACAAGTTGAGGAAATTGATTCATAGGGTATTTAAATCTTTACACCTCAAAGTTAAAATCAGTTCTAACATTAAACAAGTGAATTTCTTAGGTGTAGCCTTAAACTTAGTCCTTAATAATTTCCAAACTTTCTTAAAAAAAACAATGCTAACCCCATTTATATAAATCCTAATTCCAATTGCCCACCACTTGTTATTAAGCATATCCCATCATCCATTGAATGTTGTATCAACCAGCATTCTTCTACCAAAGAAATATTCGATAAATACAAAATTGTTTACAGCAAAATCCTTACTGGCAGCAGCTACAGATCTTCTGAAATTAAGTATATGGAAAATTTATAGTTACTCTACAAAAACCAATAGAGAAAGGAAAATAATTTGGTATGCACCTTCCTTCAACAAATTAGTGTGTACGAAATTGAGACATACATTTTTTAATCTAATTAACAAATACTTTCCTACAAATAGTAAATTAAATCAAATCTTTAACCAAAATACCCTAAAAATCAGTTATAGCTGTTCTAGAAATTTAGATATAATCATTAAATCACACAACAATAGAATATTGAAATTTTATAACGAGAATAAATGCAACCCAAACACAAATTCTAATATACCCCACGTAACCAAACTATGTAATTGCAGAATTCCCCATCACTGTCCATTATTAAACAGGTGCCTAACGAAATCTATTGTATATATGTGCTACATCTCATAATATGAGAACCCTAAGGGTATTAAATTGAATGTGGGATCCACTAGATGATCTTTTAAGGATTGATATTACAATCACATATTTTACTAATACAAGCAAACACAATATGACATCACTTTTTAAATACTTTTCGAAACTGAAGAAGGAAAACAAAACACGCAAGGTTAAATGGAAAATCCTAAAACAAGCCAGAACTTGCAAATCTTTGAACAAACCTTGCTTTTATGTTTGCAGGAAAAAATATGTATTGTTAAACTTTTGAACAACAGCCAATTATTAAATCAAAGATTTGAAACCACCGTTTCTTGTAGGCATATTAAAGATTTAACATTACAATCTTGCTAAACTTCCAAATCCATAAGCCTAAACATTTAAAATTAAAACTTACCTCCTTTGATATACTTTCTACTCTTTAATATACATTTCTACTAAGCTATCTTAGATGATGATTCTTAAAATGTTTTTGCACATATATAATACTAGTAATAGTATCAGATAAATTGATTTACATCCATACTTATTCTACAAGTTATACAGTCCGACAATATTTGCTTATAAAATTAATAGTAATATCCCATACTTTTATGTACCTTTCTACTTATATCTTAAATTCTGAACTAAAACTTATTGTTTTTTAAAAAAAACAAACAAATAATTTATATATTCAACATACCAAGAAAAAGTCCCCACTTCTTAATTTAGTAACTTACAAAATACATTCATTGATTACAAAACTAGTAGCAATAATTCCAGTCTAAATATACACAATTCAGCTCTGGCTTCATTTTAAAGTTGCCGAACATATTTACAATTACTACTATAACCATCGTTTGAAATTATACCTACTTCCACTTTTATTGTCTTACTCTCCACTATTCTCACCTTTCCTTCCCCATCCCTCACTCCTAGGAGGCATTGACCATTGTTGTTGATTAAAAAAACTTTTTGGGTTGAATTATCACTTTAACACCACAACAATCCTTCAACAAACTGATATCAACAAACACTATTGTTTCACTGTCACCCTTTTGCCTCTCCTATTTTTTTTCTTTATCCATATTCATCTCCTCTTAAAGTGTACCTTTTTTTTTAAACAGAAAAAAGGAAGTGATGTTCCACATGCAGCCTGCTTACAAACAAAATTGTTCATAACCATTTCAGTTCTCACCAGTCGAGGTGCAACTAAATTCACTGAAATGAAGTTGCATCTTTGCCATGAGTAAATTGTTTTTGTCTATATGAAAAAATTATAATATATATATATAATATAATATAATATAATATAAAAGGCTCAAACACTAATATGCCATGGTTATAATTTACTACATTGGAATCGTAATCATGATTTGTATGTCTGATGATTTGGAGTGTGATTACGATTCCAATGTAATAAATTATAACCATGGAATATTAGTGTTTAGACTTTTATATTATATTCTTACTCTGTCCTGGACATTGAGTTCTACCTGGATTCTATCCTCTTGGGAATATATATATATATATATATATATATATATATATATATATATATATATACTGACCACTAATATTATCAATATATATATATATATATATATATATATACTGACCACTAATATTATCAATATATATATATATATATATACTGACCACTAATATTATCAATATATATATATATATATATATATATATATATATATATATATACTGACCACTAATATTATCAATATATATATATATATATATATATATATATATATATATTTATATATATATATTTATATATATATGAAACATGCATTGGATATATACATATATTTAAGCAATTGTTGGTCAGAATTGAGTCTGACTAGGGGACAGTTGAATTAAAAAGTGCTCTAAACACAATCCCAAAAATCAAAGTTTTTAAATAATTAATTTCCTAATTCTTTAAGCCAATAAAATGTTAGGAAATTAACTAGCATCTACCACCTGACTTTTTAATATATATATATATATATATATATATATATATATATATATATATATAAATATTTTTTTAAATATGATTCCATTATGACACAGAAATTTATATTATATCAATATACATATATATACACAGACACATATATATATATCAATAAATAAAAGACAATGATAATATTTATCTCCCTACATCTGTTTATTTATCTGTACTATTGTGTTTTTATATATATATATATATATATATATATATATATATATATATATATATATATATATAAGTTATCATAATAATCGAACCTAGACCCAACGGACCACAACTATTAGTTTCTTACACACTAATGCAAACAGCAATCAGGTCCTACCCTGTAGAAAATCTATTAGTTGCACTATCTGTAGGGATATGTTTTTGTGTGTGTATATGTATATATATATATATATATACACATACACAGATTCATAGATAGAGATATGTATATAAACAGACAAACATTGTGTCATTATATTAGGCACCCATGTATATCAGGGGGTGACGAAAATTTTATAACCCAACCTACCTCCATAAAATGGACCAAATGACAAAGTCACAAATTTTATGAAAGGTCTTCTAGTTGAGTCTGTTTCAGTGTATTTTTGTCTCTGCCTCTCTGACTAAATCTTTGTGTGTGTAAATTGATAGATATAAATTGACTTGAATATTCAGGTATGTATTGGTTGGGAAAGAAAGACATATATTTAGATACATATATCATACTTACACCAACAAAATATATGTATATTGGAGAGAGAGAGAAGAAATAAAAAATGAAATGAAATTCTAAGTTTGCCTTATTAAAACTCTCCAAACTCAAAGAACAAGATTTAAAAAGTTCTGATCTGATTTGGTTCATATGGTGCAACGCTTTCAAATCCAAATGAGAACAAATAAATGAAACAGTTGCTTGAAAGGGAAAAAAGTTAGTAAGCAAAATAGTTTCTCAGTTATTTTGGGGGTTTTATTTGTTTTGTTTTTTTAACTAACATTGCTAACTTTGAAAAATATTTTGTGGAAGTTCATTTATTCCCTTTGTTGTTGAATTTCAAACAGAAAAATAGTTTATCTATCAATCACAATTTTTTCATCTTCCATCTCAGATCTCTTTCAATCTTTTCTGTTTCTGTCTCAGAATTTTCATACCTATGTTCATTATCTATCCATTTATCTATCTCAGCCTATTGATATCTATCTATTTATCTATCAAAGTCTGTTCATATATGTCTATCACAGTCTGTTCATATATCTCTCTCTCTCTCTCTACATATATATATATATATATATATATATATATATAATATAAAAGTGAACATAGAAGTCAACACTTAGAGGCGACAGTCAGAGATAGAGCATATGTAAATATAAAATATAAAAGTGGACATTGAAGTCAACACTCAAAGGTAACAGACTGTTTCATGTTAAACACAATCATCAGACCACATGAGTTTTCTCGACTATTCATATATATGGTTCAGTGGTGTATTGTGGGCAGTCTATTCTAACAGTTATTTTGGCAGGAGTGGTTTGTTAATTTGTTGATTATTTATTTGTTTGGATTAATTTATTTTACCTGTTTTTTCTTTATTTTTGTCTCTTTTTAGTTATTCTTTTCGGGTTTTGATTTTTAAGTAACATAGAAAAAATTTTGAGATGAGTTCTGATTGTTTATTTAGTAGTTTGTTTTGGTCTGGGAAGTTAATTATAGCTATTTTTTCATCCACAACACAATCAGAGTTTGCAGTTTTTGCATTGATTGTCATAGTCTCTTCTAATGGTTATTTTGGCTGAAATCGTTTGTTAATTTGTATATTATTTACTTTATTTATTTCCACCGTATATATAAATAGTCAAGAAAAACACCATACATGTGGTCCGATGATTGTGTTTAGCATGAAACATTCTGTCACCTCTGAGTGTTGACTTCAATGTACACTTTTATATTTTATATGTCTATATATCAATCTATCAGTCTGTTTATATATATATATATATATATATATATATATATATATATATATATATATTTCTGTCTTTATATTAATTTATTTATCACAGTTTGTTCATATCTATCTATCTATCTATCTATCTATCTATGTATCTATCTATCACAGTCTGTTTATATCTATCTATATATGTATCTATCTATCACAATCTGTTTATATCTATCTATCTATCTATCTATCACAGTCTGTTTATATCTATCTATCTATCACAGTCTGTTTATATCTATATCTATCTATCACAGTCTGTTTATATCTATATATCTATCTATCACAGTCTGTTTATATCTATCTATCTATCACAGTCTGTTTATATCTATCTATCTATCTATCTATCTATCTATCTATCTATCACAGTCTGTTTATATCTATCTATCTATCTATCTATCTATTTTTTTTAATGACATATCAGCCTCTATGGGTTATTTAATACCAAATCCTAAATATTTTGTATGCAATTTCATGGCATCAAATACAGATATTTCGTACATGATTTTATACTTTCAGGGCAAACATTTTTTTTAGATATATAACTTGTAGATAATAAAATGTATTGTTGGTAACGTTAAAAAGTGTACTACTGTAACTTTACTATTAAAATGTATTTGATACTTTTTAGTGTTGTATTGTTCATCATTTTACTATAAAAATGTGTTGTGGGTCATTTTTTTTATAAAAATGTATTGCTGGTAATTTTATTATAAAAAAAAGTTTTGTTTTTTGTTTGGCGGATTTGCTATATGCCCATAGCTTGGACCCTAATAAGTGCTACCACCCAGAGTCTGACTGGACGTGGGAAAAACAGTAAGTAAGAGGTAGTTCCATGCTCCACAAAGCTTCCAATCTCCCAATCATAGAATTTGCAACCAGATGTAGTTTATCATCAGAACTAGGTTAATTTTATGATTACTCAATAAGCTTTTTGAATACTTCTGTCAAATAATTATAGAAATTTTATGGTTCTAGTCATAATATTTGTGGGAAGTACAAGCAGTGTTATTTTCTTAGTGCTAGAAAAGTATCTGCTAGTATTAATGGAAATGGAGTTTTCTTTTTTGCAGATTTTGAGACATACCTTTTGTTATATTCTGTACTAATAGGAATATATACTTGAAAAACAAGGTGGATAAAATAGGTAAAGGTTTATTGTAAACAACCAGTACAATAAGAATAAAGATAACAGTTATGCACAAGGCCATCGCAAGTCAATCCAGTAGTGAGTGCTACTATTGGAAGGTTGGTAGTTCTCGTGTAAGTTTGAGTTGTACTCAACAGATCCCAGCTAGTATATTTAGCCACCCACCATGAGGGTTGCATGTGGCACAAGGCTGGTTTAATGTGGGTTGCCTGAGCCAGTAAACTCGGCCAAAAATATCCCCTTTCTGAACCCACATAAACGGTTTCAGGCTCAGTCTACCTCCCTGAATGAGACTCTGACCTTCGGCGGGGCTTCATCCGGGTTCCTCTCTGCTCAGAGGCAGAGAGTTCGACCATCTAGCTGGAACAGGTCGCAGCTAGAATATTTAGCTACCTCCCCCCACGAGGGTTGCATGTAGCACAAGGCCAGTTTAACATGGGTTCTCTGAGCCCATAGGCTAGGCCAAAAATATTCCCTTACGAACCCGTATAAACGGGTTCAGGGTCAGTCTACCTCCCCGAACGAGACTCTGCCCTTCGGCAGGGCCTCTTCCGGGTTCCACTCTGCCCAAAGACAGAGAGTTTGACTGGCTAGCTGGAACAGGTCACAGTAGTGTATTTAGCTAACCCCCCACCCACGAGGGTTGCATGTGGCACAAGGCTGGCTTAATGTGGGTTCTCCGAGCCCATAGGCTTGGCCAAAAATATTCCCCTTTTTAAACCCACATAAACGGGTTCAGGGGCAGTCTACCTCCCCAGATGAGACTCTGCCCTTCAGCGGAGTCTTTTCCAGGTTCCTCTCTGCCTGAAGGCAGAGAGTTCGACTGGCTACCTTGAACAGGTCACAGCTAGTCTCTGTAATCCATTGACATACAGATACTTATAGATAGGTACTACCTATAGTGTAGTCACTCATGTTAGTGACAGGTTATTCCATTAAATCACTATTAAAATGGTTTAATTATACAATATTAAGCAAGGATATAGTTTTAAGAAGTCATTTCTGTAAATAACTTTTAATTTTCCATCAGTATAGATTCCTTGTCTTGCCTTTATGTCTCTATACAAGAAACAATGTTAAATATTGGTTTTTTTTCATTTGATTTTTCATAATAGAACCTTGTGTTTCTTTTTCTTCTGACCTTGAAAATTTGTGATCTGGTGCTTCTGCTATATATTTAGAGATTCTTCATAAAATCCAAAGAAGAATCTGCAGTGTTACTGGTTTTGACCTGTCATCTTGGCTTCAGTCCCTTTCCCAGCACATAGCTTCCCTCTGCCTTTTCTGTAACTACTTTTATGGTAATTGTTCTAATGAACTTTCTGCTATGGTACTTAGACTTTATGAATTTAGGTGCAGTACGAGATTGGCAGCAAGAACTCATCATTTTAGAGTTGAAATGGCTAAATGTAACTGTAAGTTCTATGCTAACAGTTTCTTCTATCACACTTTGCACTTGTGGAACTCTGTTCTGGTTTCTTGTTTCCCAGTCAACTTTGATCTTCAAAAATTTAAATTCAATGTCAATCTTTATCTTCTGTCTTCTTAATTTTTGTTCTTTTATTGTCCTCTCTCCTTAATAATAGTTTTTCTCATATTTTCTAACACTCAGTATCTCCTTGCATCCTAGTGTCTTTGTTGTTTTGCTTGAGCTGAAATGATTAAAAAAATGTTATAAAAGCTGTCTTTACTCACAAGTCTGTCACGTCATGTCACAAAATGTTGTCTCTACTTCCTTCTGCACACTTTTGTCAGTGGTGTCTACCTGAAAATTTCTCCACTGATTGGCTGCTAAAGGTCACATGACCAACCAAGTTGGGTTTATATAATGGGGAAAGAGGAATGATAATTATCTCAGTATCTCTTTACCTTTGATTGAAATTTGTAAGAAAATATGAGGAGAGAAAGAAAGTACTGAAAGCTTAACCTACTCTACCATTAAAATAAAATAAAGTTCTGAAAAAAAAAAAATTGATGAAACGGCAGATTTGGAAGAATTTTAATTCTTGATATTGCTTTTTTTTTTCGTTTTCTGACTCAGACAATTAAAAAAAAATATAAAGAATCCAAAAAAATTTGCCATTTAAATTCTTCTATTACCTTATCTTCTGGCATCATTTCAGGCAACTGAGAGGCAGGTGTGCACTTGGAGAAAGTTATAGTGTGAGACAGGAAGATAGATCACTAATGATATGTAAAGAGAATGAATAAAGGCAACAAAATATCAGAAAGATAAGTGCACATGTGCACCAATATATACCCACATATACGAATATATTCAGTGAAAGAAAATGATCAATACCATGAATTTTGATAAATAGTACATTTAAAGAAAAAAGACGATCAGGTCTGTAAACAGACAAGTTTTGTTTGAAAACTTTTTTGGACAAGGTATTGTAAAAAAAAAAAACAAGAAGGTAAAAGAAGTGGGTGATCGGTGAAATTCATGATTTAATGAACAAGAAACAGCAGATAAGACAAAGAAATGGTACAGAATATATAAGGTAAACAAGGTCATCAGAAATAAGAAAAAGCAAGTAACATAGGAATGGCTCAATGAGAAACATGCAGCAAGAGAAAAATTGCAGAATACGGTTGTAGTTATTATGCCCCCCAAAAATAAGAGAAATTATAAAACAAAAAAAGTTGACTTTGGCAGAATTTAACAAAACTAAACATGAAACAATCATAATAAAAAAAAAAAGAACACTTAAAATAGCGAAAGAATGAGTAGGAGAGCACATCCATGACTAAATGGGAGAAAAACTTTCTTTCATGTGCCATGTCCTTTCAGGATGTGTGGATCATGGCTCTCCACAAATTCCTATCCTTTGTAGCTTTGAGTAATGTTTTTCTCTGAACTATTCATCCCAAGCCATACTGTACTGTTCATTTGTACAGGCTTATCAGGTAGGTTGCTAACTCTTTCTCTCTGCCCTTTTTATCTTCAATATGTCTTGTGAGTGTTAAAATCTCCAAGCTTTCATTTCTTGTGCTATGTCTGGGAAAGTTCAACTATCTCTTTCTGATTCTAAATAAAAGTATTCTTTTCAGTTCCATTGCCCTTCGAACTTCCTCATTGATAACATGATCCACCCATGGTATTCTCAGCATCCTTCTGTAGAACAACCTCTTTTCATCTCTGTGGAAACTGTCTAGCCTTCATTGTTGTTATGGTCCGGTTCCTTGTACCACGGTGATAGTCCAAGGTAGAACCAATAAAGAAGAACTCGAAGGCGGATATGGAATAACACAGATATATTACAAACAGGAATATATACAGAGAGGTAGAAACGTGTTAGTACGAACAATCAGGTTTAGTAGTAATTGTCTGAACTCGACTCTGTTTCGGACTGCCTCTGACTCGACTGACTGACTGACTTGCGCGCTCTGACTGACTGACAGACTCCTGACGGACATCACTCCAGACTTCAGACAGAACTCCCTGCTTCCTCTTGAGGCACAGTATTTATTACGTATGGAATAGTCCATTATGTTATTATGGGTAAGGTCCTATAACAGTTGCCATATAGGATCATGTACAGTTTATTTAGGAGCATATCAGTTCAGCACTCTTTTCTTTGTTTCTAACAAAATTTCTATTTTTTGTTTAGCTTTTAGGGGGCATTTTTCTTTATTTGTCTGCTATATGAGACAACTTTATTTGTCTGCTTTATGAGACAACTTTATTTGTCTGCTTTATGAGACAACTGATATTACATAGAACTTCAGCACACTTTTCTTTGTTTATAATGAAATTTTGTTGTTTTATAAACATTTTGTCAAGCTTTTGACGTCCACAATCAATTTATAAAGGCAGGCAAATGTACTTAATAATAAAATATGAGATTTAGGCAACACTGACAAAAACAAACAAAAAAAAGCACAAGATTATTAAAAACACAGCGTGTAGTGTAATGGATATTGGTGTGGAAAGTGGAATCAACAAGCCAAGTTCAAGTTCCCGGGTAACCTGTTACATTCTCATTTTCATTAATACCCTTTGGAAAGGCACAAATCCATGTCTTCTCCCCACCAGCTACAGGTTAAATAACAGGATAAATTGGGACCTCTAATCTTGGGTGGTAACCAACCCAAGAAAAGGAAAATTTTGAATTACAAACCACCAAGGTAACGTGAAATCACTATATTTTACAAGAATATATAGCAATGCCATATTTGAGGTTTCATATTAAAACTAATTTTCATATTGTAAATAAAAACTTTTGAAAAATTGCCTACTAATTCTCTGATGCGAGAGAA